GGGCATTGGCATTGTAAATGTGGGGCATTAGCATTGTAAATGTGGGGCATTGGCATTGTAAATGTTGGGCATTGTAAATTGTAAATGTGGGGCATTGTCATTGTAAATGAGGGGCATTGACATTGTAAATGAGGGGCATTGGCATTTTAAATGTGGGGCATTAGCATTGTAAATGTGGGGCATTGGCATTGTAAATGTTGGGCATTGGCATTGTAAATGTTGGGCATTGGCATTGTAAATGTTGGGCATTGTAAATTGTAAATGAGGGGCATTGGCATTATAAATGTGGGGCATTGGCATTGTAAATGTTGGGCATTGGCATTGTAAATGTGGGGCATTAGCATTGTAAATGTTGGGCATTGTAAATTGTAAATGTGGGGCATTGGCATTGTAAATGCGGGGCATTGTAAACTGTAAATGTGGGGCATTTACATCAGTTAGTATAAGGGTAATGTTTGAAAGGTTACAGGGAGTATGAACTTTCATTTATAGAACCCCACCAAAACAAACAGTATAACGGAAAAGCTCTGACATCACACATTACAGAATATCAGTATACCCTTCACTTACCAGCCGTTAATACCTATAAACAGGTCCTGCCCTACAATCTCTGCTGCCTCCTCCTTTGATCCAGTAAATGAATGGACCTGGAAAAAATCATTAAGGTTATTTACAGCAGTTAAAGTCAGTCAAATAAACAGCAGTTTTGCTAAAACTTGTTGTCTTTTCCAAATATTTACAAAATGGCCATATTAATCAAACAAAAGCAGAATTTTGTTTACCAATAATTTATTAAATCGAAAGTGGTTCTTTGATCAGAATAACAGATAATACCAGTACGGTATAATTTGAGAACATGTGAAAGATTTTCAAATAAGTTTTATAAAATGCTTTTAACACATATTTAAATGTGTATCCTGATAAATATCCATTGCATTTGTGTCAAAAAGAGCAGACTTTCTACCATAAATTGCTACTAATTTGTAATTAAGAGAAAACCCACCACTCCTCCTGAAATGCGCTCCCTGTTTCTCTTGATGATGTCTATGAACTCTCTATGTGCATTCCTTGAGTGTAGAAATAAAGGCAACTTTGTCTTCTCGGCCAAATCCATCTGCTTTTCAAAATACCTGGTAATATATTAATAAAGGATTACATATCACACCTGTACCGACTAACGATTCTATAATATACACATGCTTTTGTGTGTCCAGAACCTCAGTGATTAATACATACTGTAAACAGTCCTATCTACAGTACATGGTAATATTACTTGGTTCTGACAGCCAAAACATACCGATACAGTAAAAATTAATTTTAGTGAAGCCACAGGAATCCTGAATAAATGTAAGAAGTGTTTTTCATAAAGATATACAAATGATCCGTGTTTCCAATAATCTTATATCTACCTATTAGTTTTGGTGCAAAACATACAACTGTTTGTGTCAATTTGGAACAAACACTTGTGAAGTAAGAATATATTAGTTAAACCTATTAATCAAACCTATGTAAATACAAATGTCAACTGTTAAAAAGAAAAAGAAAACTCACTTTATTTGGGTATCCTTAGGACAAAAATGGAGTCGGTCAAAATCTTCAAATAATTAAAAAAAAATGATAAATTTTGTTCACAAAAATATTAACTGAAAATATAAAAAAAAATCTGGTAATTCTATTTTTTATGAATATGATAAATCATCTTTGCTTAATTCCATGTTTCCATCATAAATGTAGAAATTCCCTTGTATACATAAACTGTACTTATGTATGTTAATCATCCTACACTTCCTGAACAGAAACTTATGATCATACAGACATTATAAGAGTAGCATTAAAATGTCACATCAAACCTAATAAGATATATGATTACAAAACCAGTCGTCAAAGCATACAATATTGACCATATCCATAACACCTTGAAGAAGTGGTAAAGCAATAAAGAGTTCACCCTACAGCCTACAGGTGAATTAGTGTATAGGGCCTGCCACACGGGACCTTGTGTTTTACCTTATCAGTGATGTTGCTCTTTGAGAACTCCATCTACCCCAGGACTTAGCCATTTACAGTAAAGACATCAACACCCTAGGAGTGTATAATGGACACCTATGTCTGCAGGGCATATAACCATGTGTCGAGTCACTCAGGAACATCATGGAGTTATCACACCATCAAGACATAACCTGTATGACAAAGCCAGCTTACACACTAGATGGTTAGATATAGTCGGTGCCTTTGTCCCAGGTCCATACAAGCAGGGATTTTCACTATCGATAATATGATCAGAAACTTGAAATCATCTGACAGGCGTTGTTTCAATATCTATCTGACAGAATTTAAAGTTAATTGGTACAAAGTGACCTGTGGCTGAGGGATAGCAATTGGTCAGTCTTGTGTTCACGGAAGTAAAATATATCCTGTAACGAAACAGTTAATAATTTTCAATGTTATGAAATTATGACCCAAAATGTAAGGAAGTTAATTAACTACAGATACAAGCAGTTCCGGCTTGTTTGGTCAAAAGGTTTATACTGTATTCATGTAATTCAGGATTGATACATATTACTGATCTTTTTATTGTGGCTATCTATACTTCCCTCAAAATAAAATGTGTGTTGCTATGTTATACCATACGTGTATATGTCCAGCATTACATGAGTGTTTTAAATGTCAGTAGAATCACTAGGGGTGGGGTGAGTTTTTTCGTGGATAAATACTGTAATAGTTTTACATATCAAGATTTCTTACATAGCCATGATGAAAACATACAAACAGATTTTATATGTGACATACCTAGTCCCAGCTCTCCAATGGCTACCACACGATCCTTGTTGTCCGTTGCCAAGGTCAAAAGGTCATCTAAGTACTTCTGAGGGTCGGTACCTTTATCAAAGTCACCACACCTAGTCGGATGGCACCCAACTGTCGAGTACAGGGTCTCTGTAAAATTAATGGTACACACCCTGTAGTAAAACAGAATTAGTGTATTCGCAAACAGCACTTTGTGTAAATTAGTAAACAATGTACGGTACAACATTTTTGTAATCAGTAAGTTACAGAATTGGTCAGAGTTCTCAATAATACAGTATTTTACAGGACTACTGTTACAGGACAAGTCCTATGTAACACAGTAAGTTACAGAATTGGTCCAAGCTCTCAATGATACAGTATTTTACAGGACTACTGTTACAGGACAAGTCCTATGTAACACAGTAAGTTACAGAATTTGTCCAAGCTCTCAATAATACAGTATTTTACAGGACTACTGTTACTGGACAAGTCCTATGTAACACAGTAAGTTAAATAGTACAAGCTCTCTGGTATACAGTAAGTTATATAATATTATTACAAATCATAGAATACGCCGATTGTAATACGGTTAATTGTGGATTAAGCTCTCTGTACAGTAATACAGTAAGAAACAAGCCCTAGATGATAGAGTAAACCATAGTAGGAAAAGCAATAAGTAATACACTTTGTTATGGGACAAGCTCTCAGTAATCCAGCATACCGTTTAGTAATAGCTCAAGTTTCAGTAATACACTTTGTTATGGGACAGTCTCTCAGTAATATAGCATACCGTTAAGTAATAGCTCAAGTTTCAGTAATACACTATGTTATGGGACAAGCTCTCAGTAATCCAGCATACTGTTAAGTAATAGCTCAAGTTTCAGTAATACACTTTGTTATGGGACAGTCTCTCAGTAATCCAGCATACCGTTAAGTAATAGCACAAGTTTCAGTATTACACTATGTTATGGGACAGTCTCTCAGTAATTGTTTTTCATGGGACAAGCTCTTGGTGATACAGTTTATCATTAGACAAGCTCTCAGTAAAAGAGTATGTTATGGCCTATAGGACAAGCTGTCAGTAATACAAAAGATTATGGGAGAATTTCTCAACACCAGGTTCCAGTAATACAGATATTATGGAAAATCTCTATGTTAAACAATAAGTTACATGTGGTAATACATCCGGAGCTCCAATCGTATAAAATGCTTTATGCATGGGACATGGTAGAAAGTTTTCATAAGTCACTTTAATTCTGTAATTCTACATCAAAACCATATTTACCGTGTGATTTACATAGCTTCAGAGCCTCCTTTGAGTCCTCCAAACTTCCACCAGTGATCATCATCTGTAAAAGACACCAGATATGTTTATGATATCAAAAAGACATGTACCTTCTGTTATAATGATAAAAGACAGTTAATTAAAACGGACAAACTTAATTACTATTTGATAATCAGGTAGATTCCTTTCCATGTTTAGATTAACCAATTATACCTTCAATTTACACAATATCATTTATATATTTTTTAACAAAAATTATTCTAAAAGAACTTGTGTCAATCTATTACATGTTAGTAAATTAATGTAACAGTTAAGGTATATGAGGGGCAAATACTGTCTAATTACTGGTAAGATAGCTTTTTCAGCGATGCTGTATGACCTGGGGACTTGCTCAAAAGTTCAGCAACATCGAGCGTGGTCAGTAGTTGGATGGGTGACCGCCTGCACGTTACATTTGGCGGCAGCGGAGTGACTTTGTGATCATGTAAGACAAGTTCACGGTGGTTAGGGAAGGTGCATGATATAGTGAGTTGAGGGAGGACCTACAGGATTCCCCAGGCCAAGTCTCGGGACAAGACTTCTCGGAGGGGAGAATAGTGAAACAGCTAAGGTAATTATGAGGGGAAAATACTGCCTCACTGGTAAGCTAGTTTTTCCAGTGATGCGGTATAAGCTGGGGACCCGCTCACTAGTTCAGCAATGTCGAGCGTGGTCAGTAGTTGGATGGGTGACCGCCCCCACGTTACATTACCTTTTCCATGCCATATTCAAATGCTCTGCTCAGGACATCCATAAAGTCATCTATAAAGAAGAAGAATTGATAAGTAGTGTATACATATAATATATACTTCACACTTATGGTTATAAAAGCATATTTGAAAGAACGAACTGACAAGAGTTAAACACAAATACCGGTACCCCACACCACTTTATGATGGAACATGAAGATAACTTAGGTAGAATAAAAATTGTACTGGTAAATAAAATTCAATAAATATATTTATGCTCATAAATGATTTAATTTTCTGATAAGAATGTTCAGTCAATATTCTTGAACACTTTTATACATATGACATTGACAACTTAAGATTCATTTACCTTCATGTTTTCTAGATCCATGATAAATTCCTCTGAAAACAGGATCTGAAACAGAAAGACATGACCAGTATGTTTTTACTATGTATGTAAAACACCCTTGTAAATTGGACTGCATTCAAGGTTTTCGGGTGATATAATCTTTATGGTAATTAATTAAATAAATCATCAATAAGACTGATATATTTTCCAAAACACTATTTTTGAAAAACAAAAAGTCATATTACTTGACTGTTAGCACATAGGAGGTCCAAAGTTTAATACCTTTCTGGCTGAGCATTTTACTCGACAAATATCCTATATCCTAATTCCTTCTTTTACATCAATTAGGAAATTCAATTTTTACATTATCTTTGTGCATAAGAAAATCTTACCTGTTAAATTAACACCAATATCTGCAAAAGAAATGTACTCATATGAATTTAAAACAACTATAGAGCGATATCTTATTATGAAATAGTTATTGGTACATGTATAGATTAAAGTTTAAGTTAAATTAAAACTGCTACGAGGCAATACATTGATCAAAGTGGTAGATCCACACGGATGTCATTGCTTCAGGAAAACCCCGAGGCTTAAACAGTTAAAGTGTTATAAATAGTGACTGACAGAACAGTTCCAACACTTATTACCAATTCGCCCAGAATGGTGTCTGGAAGATAACATTTTTACCATTTCGTTTAAACTCTTACCGATAAATTTGAATGCTGATTTCGCTGCAGTAGCCATTTTTATGTACTGTCTGTTTGCTGGCTTCTTGGATTTTGGGAGGAAAATCTTTAGTGTGAAAGTGTACTGAAATATGCCTATTATTTTATGCGACTTAGTGGGTTTACGTCTTAGTAATTTGATTGTAAAATATATGTACGGAATGAATATTATAGTAATGCCCCCAATAAGCTATAACTATTGCACCAATACCATATGTTAATGCAGCTAACACAAAATCATTTCACAAGTGGATGACATCTCGACTATTTACAGAACGTGTGTTGCCCATGACAAGGGAGGTTACTCTAATATATTTTATAATCCTAGGTAGCAACCCAGTATTATATCGGCCATATGTTCATAATAATCTGTTTTGTTTCCCCCTATCATTTTCATTCCCTATATGCCATTGGCATTTAGGTGCATAACAAGATGTTATGATAATATATGGTATGTGATATATTTTGTGCCACTTGTTAGGCCCTCGGTTTATTTTCACACCTTCACGGTTGGTGACTCCAGAAAAAAAATTGAGGACATTGTGATTTTATGTGACGTCTGGCATGCTGCGATACTATTTATCTAAACGAAAGTTACTCGCCTGAAATTATTATGTCATATTATTTTTAATATAAGTAGGAATCTGAGATGTAATCCCTAAAATCTACTTTATTATCTAAATGTGTACAGTACAGATACCGGACCGGTCCCTCGACAGGAAACGATAAGAACGTCTCCCTTGTGACGTCACAAGTAGCGGGGTATTTGCAAACACGAAATATTGCAAGCAGGTGGGTGTTTCACTTGGTATTTTACATTTTATCCGATAAAGGGTTATTTTAAAGAAATATCTCGTAAATATAGATACCGTTTGTATATGGGGAGAATCTTGAGTAAAATGCGTGTTTAATTTTATCGTTACTTCACATTATATTTGCAGGAGCCATTTCAAAACAAACGACAATGAAGAAAGATGGCTCATCACTGGTCAGAAGACAACTGGATTTCCGTGAGAAAATATTGACAAAAACAACATTTTATATCGATATCAGAGAAGACGATTTAAAGAAACGAATATCACGCAGAATCCGGGACCTTGGAGGACAAGTCGAAGGTTTTCTTTCCAAAGATGTCCATATTTTATTGACTGATTCAAACAACACATCCCAGAAAATTGGTCCAAGTGCATCACTGACGCCAAGTCCAGATCCAGAAACCAAAATTACCGTTCCACTCAGTAGAGGTGAGCATATGAAATTAAACCTCTGGAATACTTATTTCAAAAATCAAAAAGCCATACATGTAAAGTTTAATTAGTTTTTCTTGATGGGTGGCTGCACAAGAATATGAAATGGTATTGGTATATATATCACTAGGGACATCGCTGGGGAGTAGGACTGTTAAAAACAACAACACGTTTTTATAGTACTCGAAAGCGATCTCTCTGTGTAATTGTGTTATATACATTGTTGTTACACTCATAAAGTTTCAGATTGCTGTGGTAGGTGGGACACCCTGGGCATTGCATGAATAACAAACCCTCCCTGCAGATATACAGGTCTCTTTTTCTGGCTGAATAGAACTTTAATTCTCGAGAGAGTGCTTACATAGATATTGAGGGCGCTATATATATGAGTGTAAGAGAAGTGCATTGATTATAGGTTGCTTTACAGCTGAAGGGAATTTCTCTTTAGCTCAGCGGTAGAGCACCGGGCTTGAGAGCCAAGGGTTGCTGGTTCAAACCCCACCAATGGCACTATCTTTATCACTATATTCTCATTTTTTCACTCTTAGTTTAAAGCACAAACATGTGATGAAATTCAATTTTCAAATTTCATTGGTCATCGAATAGTGAGATACAGAGTCTGGATGATTCTGTGATTGACGAGTCTGAAGAATAAAAGAATAACTGAATAAAATAAGCTAATACATTTCTCTCTCTTATATTTTTATATAATTATGATACATTAAACAGGCTTAGTAGGTAAGCAGCTCTCTTAACTTTCCAAGATGGTCTGGAAAATCAAGATACACCCTATTTTAGCTATAAAATATTTCAACTAACACAGATAAATTGGAATGAAAGTACATTGCTGTTAAAATAAGTGTCAACATGCAGAGTCCCCAACCTATTAAAATGCATTTCATGAAATCATGAAGGGATTACATGTAAATAAAAACCATTAATGGATCTAGAGGTATTTTCTGCACTTAAAATCACACACACACACAACCAAACCCTATCCCCCAGCCCTTTGTCATATTGTCTCCTCCCTTTTAGCCCACCAATGCCATTATGGCACCACCATCAATTGGTAGACTGTTTAAATCACCATCATCTACAATCGGTCAACCAACCATTCATCCTTAAACAATCCTTGTTAACACTATTATTCAGGAATTGTTTGACAGATCTTTCTCGAATTTCATATATATATGTAGAATACCAACTGTGTCTTATTGAGACTGATCAGATACACAAGATGGCTGCCTGGCAGCCATCTTGGATTTTGACAGTGAATATTGTTATTTTACATTGCTATTTGTTTAGAAGTACCAGACAGATAATCTCAAGTTTTATAAGTAGGGTCCTCATCATGAATGGTTTGAAGATATTTACATCAGATAAACAAGATGGCTGCCTAATTAAGTAGTCCACTTCCTCATATGCATCAACAACTTCCCCAAGTTCAAGTTCAAGTTCAAGATATTTTTATTAAATATTTCAAGGCCATCTAGCCCATAGTACAATTTGCACAGTACATAATAACCATATTCACACAATTTTTACATCAAAAGCAATTTCTGCAGAGTACCTTATAACGTACAATTTACTAATATATAGCACTGACTTCCGATTTAATAATACTAAATTTGTGATGTCACAGATATAATATAATTTGATCTTGCTTCAAAAGCTAAATATACAAATTTAGCAACATTTCTTAATTTATCTTCATTTCCAGTTATTAACATATATTTTGCTTCAACATAGTTTTCCAATGCACACATTTGTCTTATATGTTCATATAATGGACAGTGTAATAAAAAATGATATTCATCTTCAATGAGTCTTGTATTGTTTGTATATAAACAGTAATTACATAATCTTTCTTCCCTTGGAATTTTTAGTTCACGACCTTTTTCAATAAATAATTCATGACTGGATACACGCAGCCTGGTTAGAGCAATTTTATGAGACTTATTTGTAATACAATATAAGTATCGTTCGGGTTCAATTAAAGTTTTGACATCCGAGTAAAAATTCAGTTTATTAGAGTTATTTATTCCAAAATCCCATTCTTGCATACAAGTGTCTTTTACTCTTTGGGTAAACAGTCTCATAAAACTATTTACATCGCCAACTTCATGATATATCCATACATAATGAAATCCATATTTGTACAATAGATCTCTAATATTTGTAGCCCAAGTTACTCTTCCAGCATTGTGTAAATTTACTAACATATCATAGCACCTTCGTGGATATCTAGAGGAGTCCATACTTAAAATATTAAACCAATACTTTATACACTTTTTATAATAAACAACACACATGGGATGTCTCCCTAATTCACCCAGAACAGCCAAGTTTGAAGTTGATTGCTTTACTCTCAATAGTCTTTTAACAAACTTTGTTTGTACAATTTCTATGCCGGGACTGTAACAATAGCCCCATATTTCAGCACCATATGTTATTACAGGAGTTACCATATGATCAAAAAGATACAATGCCTGCGAACATCCTAAATCATAAGTATTTATGAATCTAAATAAAGTAAACAAAGCTTTCTCTGCTGAAATAACAAGTGCTTCCTTAGTTTTATTCCACTTAAGAAAACAAGTAAAGTACATACCAAGGTATTTGTACATTTGTACCACTTCTATTCTTTCTCTGTTGAAAAACCATTTTTCATTTTTCTTCAAAATTCCTCCTCGTCTAAAAACCATTACCTTAGTTTTGGTAAGATTTACCATCATACCATACATTTTACAAAAGGATTCAATAATTCCTATTTGTTTTTGTAAATTTACAACAGTATCCGCCATGTTTGCCATATCATCAGCAAATAGTAACTGCATGACATTGGGTAATTCAGCATCTACAAAAATTCCTTGGCAGTTTGCTTCATTCATTTGTTCTATAACCTCATTTAAAAATATTACAAACAGGAAGGGACTTAACATACAGCCCTGTTTCGTTCCGACATTACACTCAAAATATTGAGACAATCCATCTGTTGTGTTAATACACGACTTCATATTTGAATACATAGATTTCAATATCTTAATCACTTTATGACTAACATTGTTTTTTATTAAGGTATATAGTAGAAGTGGGTGCTGTACACAGTCAAAAGCTTTGGAGAAATCAACAAAAATACAATACATCCTACCTTTCTTTTTACTGAGATATTTCTGCACCAAAGCTTGTAAAGAAAAACAGTGATCCATGGTTGAATATCCAGTTCTATAACCAGCCTGTTCCTCGTGAAATTTTTGTTCTATTTCTGCCCAGAAAATTAAACGATTATTTAAAATTTTTGTAAATATTTTCCCCATAACATTTAAGAGCGAAATACCTCTGTAATTGTCTGGTAAATTTACATCACCCTTTTTGTGAATAGGATGTATAATTGCCTTACACCAGTCAATAGGGAAAACCCCACACTCCAATATTTTGTTAAACAAACCACAGAGACACTTAAGTACATCATCAGTTCCATATTTAAAAAGTTCAATCACTAAACCATCTTCACCAGGAGCTTTATTTAATTTGAATTGGTGAATGGCTCTCTTTATTTCTTCTAGTTCTATGTCAGTATCTAGTAATTCGTTGTAAGTATGAGTTTCTGCACTGAAATGTTCATCTAATGTGTCATGTACATTTTGCATAAAAGTTTCTTCCACAGTAAATTTTGCTGAATTTAATAAGTTTTTAAAGTAATTAAACCACTGTCCTCCTGTTATTGAGTTATTATTATTTGTACTCTTAAAGCTTTTTAGCTTTTTCCACATATCATTTGGGTCCTTTAGAGAAAGCACTTCCTCCGCTTGGTTATTTTTGACCCGTGTCTGTTTTACTTTGCACACTCCCTTGAATCTTTTCTTCGCACTTTGGTACCGTCGTAGATCATCATCCAAGTTGGACCTCCTAAATACATTTAATAGTTCATATTTCTCTTTTTTCAAATATTCACACTCATTTTCCCACCATTTCGGTTGAGTATTAAGTCTGTAAGTTTTTCTCTGCATACATTTGGCAGCATGAGATACAATTTCACATAATGTTGTCGTTGCACTATTTATATTATTACGTAGGTTCTCCCAAAATTTGGAAAAGAATTCCTTAGAAAGCTCACTTTCTAGATTTATAACAAATTTATCCTTACATGCCTCATTCCATTTAAAACGCTTTCTTTCCGTAAATGAATGATCAATATGTTGTGCATCAATTAAAGAGCTACCTACACTCCACACTAACGGAAAGTGGTCTGATATGTCCCACGTTTCCACTATCATATTTGAAATATTTTCAAAAATATATGATGAAACAATTACATAGTCAATTACACTTTTCCCAAGATGGGATATAAATGTATACTCTCCAGAGTTATCTCCCATTGTACGTCCATTTAAAATATGAGTATCTAACTTATTACATAACTCAATAAGCGATTTACCATAAGTATTTGTGTTTAAATCCTTAGATAATCTTATCTTGCTAAATGGAATATCTTCTACATTTTCTCCCAAAGGGAGATATTTCTCACTTTCTCCAAAATCTTGCATTTCACCAGTTCTTGCATTAAAATCACCACACAATATAATCTGTACATCATCTTCTATATTATCTAGTATATCAATTATTTCTTCTTCAAGGATTGCTATACCATTTTGTTCTTTTTCTGTATAAAAACTTGAACCACTTGGAGGTATATATACTGAACATACCAGTACATCTTTTTCAAATCCAAACATTTCCTTGTCAAAAAGTATACTTACACACATCTTATATTTATCATGAACAGACTTAATAAATTTGTCCATGGATTTTTTAATAAATACGCTTATACCATGTGGAGTAGCTCCATACTTGGATTTCTTTTCACCATAGTTACAAAAAATATTAAATTGAGCAAAAATACCCTCACAATCTTCCTTGCAATTTGCCCATGTTTCACATAAGGAGATATAATCAAAGTTCATCAACTTATTTACAATATCAGTTCTGATTCTCAAATTGTTCAATCCACTAATGTTCCAAGAACAAAATTTTAGTTCTTTGTGGTGCCGCGTAGTTATACTTTGGCTACGGCCATCCCGTCATCCTCCAAAACTTGAGTTCCCGTCATTTTGTCTGCGATCGGTTACAAGATATACTTCGCTTACACAGGTGTCATATTTATAAATATTTCTCCCAGCTGTAACTTTATCATAATTTAAAAACACTTTCTTTCCAGGATTTTCAGTCTTTATGCTGGGTATCGCGTCCAGTAGTTCCTTTCTAATATTTCTCAGTTCCTGGCTGTAGTCTTCCGAAACCCTAGTTTTCCCTTTATAACCACTGTCTTTCGATAGTTTTTCTTTCACCGCGTTTTTTACCCTCTGTTTATGTTTCCACCTTCCGAACTTTACTATTATTCCTCTTGCCTTACTATTTGGTTCTACTTTCTTCCTACCCAGTCTGTGTGCCCGTTCTATCTCTATTTCTCTATCATCACCAGCATCCTCTAGACCTAGCGTTTCAACCATACAATCGCGCACTTTCTTTTCACATTTTTCCCAGGTCTCAAACTCATCGTCCTCATCCAGGCCCCAAAAAATCATGTTATCTCTCCGACCCTGGTCTTCTAACACCCTAACTTTTGTTCTAAGATCGTCATTTTCCCATCTTAGATTGTCCATCTCAACTTTTAAGCTGTCTCTTGTTTCATGTATCTCCTGTTGTAACATTTTTGTAGAGTCGGCTATTTGTTTCGACAGTCTCTCAAACATTTCACCTACGTTTGTTGTCTCCCTGTCCCGATCCCGATCTCCAGATCTCAAGGTCATATCGCCACCTTCTGACCCTAGCCTGGTCTGTCTTCTGTCCTGGTCGGCCCTATGTTGTTGACCTCTGCTTTGTCCACCCCGAGAATGTGGTCCTGGATTTGTCTCTACCCCCGCCATCACCAGCAACATCGCCACAACTTCCCCAAATACATATCACACAGTACACTAAGACTTTTTGCAGACGACAGCATACTATACAAAACAATCAACAACAAAGACGACACGACAAAACTACAAGCAGATTTAGATGCAGCTAGTAAATGGGAAGAGGACTTCCTGCAGGCTCATGAAATTAAACAAATATCTAGGCATCACACTTCAAAACTGCTTAAAATGGGACAAACACATTAACAACATCACATCAAATGCAAATAAATCACTAGGCTTTCTGAAACGCAACCTAAAAATAAATTCACCACACATAAAAGAACATATATTACAAGGTCATTGTAAGACCAAAACTTGAATACTGCTTTTCAATTTTGGACCCACATTATACAAATAACATAAATCAATTAGAAAAAGTACAACGAAGAGCAGCATGATATGTCCTAAACAAATACCATAACACAAGCTCCGTCATAGACATGATACATAACTTGCAATGGCCAACATTACACACCTGCAGAACAAGAACACGTACTATTCTTCTCTACAAAATAATACATCAACAAGTAGCAATACACACTAACAATCTCATCCCCGCAGACACCAGAACACGTCAAGGACACGACCTTAGTTACAGACATATCTACACACCCAAAGACACATACAGACACTCATTCTTTCCATACACCATAACACAGTGGAACCTCCTACCCAAAACAATAATCCAATCAGAAACAATAGCAGAATTCAGGACATGCACCACATATAACATAATCGAACATATACACAAATCCTACAACATAACTAACACTCACTGCTTTTAACCTGTTTTTATCCTATATCAAATAACAAAAATATAATAAAAAATCACTACATAATAATAAAAGCACTCAGCACAAGACCGACTTCCGTAATCGTCGGTATCGACGGAGGAAGTTTAAAAGATGAAGATGAAGTTTGCAAGCTACTATTTTCTGTTTTGGCTTTTGTCAATAGGTTCCTTTCTCAATTTTCATACAATGTATGAACATTCCTCTTAGTCTTTGTGGTGCATGTCCAATTTTGGAACTAGTACTGATGACTGTTATTACTCAGTAAGTAAATGAAAACTTATCCCCCTCTTTCATAAGAGGCTCTTCCTGTTCCATAATTTTGTATATACATATATATGTATTTCATTTTAGCTTCAGGCATTTTGTTTAGAATAAAAATATGATTGTATGAAATCAGAAAACTCTGTTGTTAGTTGTAACACATACAGTACATTACTCTAATTGCTAACAAACAGCTCAACCATAACCTCATTTTGAAAGGAAAATAAAGTTTTGCTTGAAAGTAATCATAAGATGCATTGGCATGACATAACTTGACATGATTCAATCCAACAGATAAGGTCAAACTTACATTCTGTATAGGACCAACAGAGATCTTGAATGGAATTCTTGGATCTAAGGAGTTCTAAAGGGAAACTAACATGATCTTTAACGATGAAAAGTCAGATGCTATAATATATAGGTACATATATCAAAGGATGAACAAAATAATTGTTTTTCTGTTTTTAATTTTGCAGGTAAAGCACTGTTGCTGAAAGCTACAAAGCAGTCCTCCTCCTGTCAGCAGTCAGCGCAGGGAGCAGACATCGTCCAGAACGCCCTCAATCTAGGTGTGAAAGTAGAGAAGGCCAAAGACTTTCTGAAATCTACACACAAATACGCTCAGAAACTGAAGCAGGTTAAGGCCCTGCAGTCAGATAGTATTGATGGAATCACACCACTGCAGTGGAAGAACTCTGATAAAGAAAACTTCAGTGTGTTAAAGGTTGAGGATGATAGGAAGGTTTTTAGACCTTTCCTCAAACATTTCAAAGACAGTTTTCCGAAAATACGGTACAATGATGACCTTGCCTCCCCATTTGACAAAGGAGTTATGTTGTGTAGAACAGTTGAAAATAAGACAAAGAATCGATACTCTACAAAAGGGAAGTCTACTGTGGCCAAAGGCAAAGGTGGCTTCTGTGAGGCGTGTGACTACTGGTACAGGTGCTCCTTACGGGAACACCTCAACAGCATGAAGCACCAGAAGTTCGTTCAGACAAACAAAAACTTTATAGAACTTGATCAAATAATTAACAAAATGCCAAACATCAAAGATTTCATGTCAAAATTTAATCTTGATTATGAGAGATCTGCAGAAATCAAACCAAATCTAGTCTTAACAGAAAAATTGGCTACAAAACCTTCTACCGAAGGATGTGGTGTTGACAACTGTAAAATTACTGTAGAAACCTGTGAAATTCCAATGGAAATGTCTGCTTCACCTAGATGTGTACCTGTGAATCATGATAAGGAATCAGTATTATCTAACTGTGAAATAGTTGTCAGTCCTGTCCCAGAACTGGGGAACATCAAATGTGATGGGGACATGTCCATGGAAGTAGATGTTTCCACTTCTAAGTACCCATTTGATGAGTGTAGTAGGGACTCGGGAACAGGGCCAGAAATTCAAGAGGACATTTCTATTCCATGTGATTTTATCCAAACTGTGTGTAGTAACAGAGACACTGGACATATAACTGATGAAGATTCAGCATTCCAACATGATCAGACCTCCAACACCATCCCTGGTAGTGAAATAACCACAGGCAGTGTCCTACCCAATTCCACTTTATCTCAGAGCATGGGTTCCTTCATTGGTCCCAGTATAGACAGTGATAATGCTGTGTTCCTGGATCTCACTGTGAAGAAAAACAACATCCCAGTTCAAGAAGTAACGTCAAATGTCAGGAAAAAGTTGTCTGCCATTGTGATAGCAGATAACAATGGCGCCCAGTCAGAAGGTTGCCATATCAACCATTTTAACATTGAAAATAAAGAGAATATTGATAATAGTGTGAGAGAACCTTCATCTTTCTCTTTTGCAGGAGTAGACAGTTTATTGTTGACTTCACCAGCAGGCCATAACACTTCACCCAAGTTAGCAGCATCTGGAGTCAAACTAGACTTTGCAAATATTGCAGCAGGCTGGATGAAAGATATGTCCCAAACTCCGGGGCAACAGAACCCAGAGACATCGACAACTTCTTGTAAAAAGAAAAGATCAACGAAAAAGTCAAAGAAACATTCATCAATGTCAAAAAGAAAGAAGAAATTAAAAAAGAAATCTGAGGTCAGTAAAGAAAGTGGCTGGCCATTTTCTCTTTTTAGCACCAATCCTAACGAGAGTTCTGAGTCCGACTTGGAACTACCACAACTACCAGTAATGAATAGCAATCTTGCCAAACAGAGACTAATAGAGAAAGAAAGGAAGCTGCAAAGTTCTCCAATTCAGTTCTGTTCAAGACAGATGCAGGATCAGAGAACATCAAGCACTTGTACCAAAAAACGTGTTAACCATCACCACCGTAAGTCATTGGGTATTAAGCGTCTAAGCAATAGTCCATCCTTCTCACTATCTGAAGGATTACGTAACATTCAGACCAAAATGCCTCAGTACTTCAGTGACAAATTGCCGTGCAGTGTAACACCTACACATATTCCCATGGTACTGGACTCGGAACCTCCTCAACTTTCACACTTCAGGTGTATTGAAGTTCAGCAGAAGGCTCGCCCACAGTCTTGTCCTGTCCTGTCGCCAATGCCATCTTCAAACACTGTTTATGCCCAAGATGAAAGCCTGTCTAGTCGAGTTCTTGATTCACAAAGCAGTTGGCAGGTGGATTCTTACAGTCAAACTTTACCATACATGCAGTCTTTGGACAGTAGTCAAATTCAAGGAACTCCCAAGGGATCAAAATTAGAATCAGAGAACTTTAGAACACCAACAAACCAGGAGCTTGATGATTCTGGGACAGAAGAATATTATAATACTCCAACAGATCAAGTGTCCTTGTTACAATGTGATACCAAAAACTCCCCACTTGTGTGTAAACAGAATGTTCACAAGAAATTTGGAACACCTCAGCAATGTGATAACCAGCTGTCTGAGTATGATTCTGACACAGAAGCCTATATGCCATACTCTCCAGAGTGTCCCGTCCTAGAGCTTGAGCAGCAGGATTCAAGCCAAGCTACGATAATACCTCTTTTATGTGAAGGTGGTCATGCTGCTAAAATTTACTCGGACAAATCAGATTCTTTTGATAAAAATGATGCAAAAGATGGATTGGAGAGGCAAGCATCAAACACCCACATAGGAATGTCTAACTGCACCAATACGTTTACATACAAAACTGGTTCTGAAGTAAAGTCCTGTTCCGAGCTTTCCTTCTCTGTAGATTCTATCCTATCAGGGCGAACAGGTAAGAAGAGAACTCTAAGTGTGAATGGAGATTCAGAAGGTGGTTTAGCATCCCCCTCCTCAGCTCTGTACATTAATAAAGACGTGATTGAACAACCAATGCAAGAACTTCAAGATTTTACGCCAACAACAGAGAAAAAGAAACGAAAGAGGAAACGACATGTCAGCAAAAAGGACAAGGGCGCTGGATGTCAGTACTACGCGTGTCCACAAGAAGGCACAAAGATAAAACTCTGTCGTGTGATTGTCACCCCTATGGAACAGAAAAATAACCTCAAAACGTTTTGGAAAGTGACAAAAGCGGGGAGTTGTCGTTTGGTCTTCAGTGCAGAGAAGAACAAAGGGAATAATGATTCAAAAGTTAGGAAAAGGGATAGTTCTGATGATCAGGTACAAGGCAGTAAGAGACGAAAACTGGTGTATTGATATTTTTACCTGGTAAAACTTATCAATCATCATTTGTGTATATAAAGAGTGAGGAAGGATATTTATTTTACTACAAAATGTATATTTACTGATCTCATTGTAGATTGCTCATATGATTTGTGTAAAAATTTTACATTGTATTTTTTATAAGAATTTTGTGCGACAACTTTTTTATATGCATTTACAGTTGTTTAACATTTTTACATACAATGTTATGTGTAAGTGTCCGAATTTCATACAAAATTGACATTTATTTGTGTTCACAAATTAACATTTATGATGTATGTAATTGGTCAGAAACTCTACGTTGACTTTATTGTTATGATTAAACAAAAGTTCAACAGGAGAAGTGGGAAGCAGTTTATGAGCAACTCCATCACCCAAATTCAAAATAAAGGAACAACATGAATTGACATAAACAGTTAACCAGGGACATAATTAAAATATTTACCTTACAGCACTGTATCAGCACTGTAAGACTTTTTCTTCTGGATTCAATAAGTTGCTATGATATCTAGAGAGAACAATTGATCATTTTGATTTAACTGCATGCCTTTGTAACATTGATTGACAAATCCCAAATGTGCATTTCCAAGTGATTGCCATCACAATATGCACTGTATTTGGCAGCATTGACGGTGTATTAGATTGTGTATGGGTATACCGTATATATTGTAAAGCACATTGAAGTGTTCTAGCTAAAAATGGCGCTACCAAATGTTGTATAAAGATACACAACATGCATATTTTGGGATTTGCTGAACAAAGTTGCAGTCTTGTAGATAAAGTAAATGGTTGTAGGATGCCGTAATACATATGTCACTCTGGTAAAATACTAGCTGCTTCCTACCGTCTAGGCTAGGGAGAATTTCTCTTTAGCTCATTCGGTAGAGCGTAAGACTAGTAAGCCAGAGGTCCCGGGTTCGACTCCTAGCGGAGGCATTGAAAAAATAATGACCTCTGTTATACACACATGCAGATAAAGTGTAAATGTATTATGAACAGTTATTCAAGATAGGACTCGCAATATAGCAGTAAACTGGGATCGCATTAAACAGGTATATTGTACTGATGTGCAATACAGAAATGAAATATTGCTGTATTGCAATATTTTTCGAAAGATTATTTTTATGTCCCTGCACAGGTTTGCTAATTACTTGCACGTTCTATTGCCAAAAACCAGTGCAGGATTTTGATGGGAATCAGTTAAAATTTCATAATCAATGGTTGGTTTAATAAAAAAAAATATCTTCAATCTGTGTGATCCATATGATATATGATCCGGTTTAACATAATTCTGACAATAAATTTTGTTTTAATCTCATTTTCCCTGTGACGATTTATCATGATACAGGCATATTGTGACGCCCCCAGTACAAAAGCAGTACCAGAGAGATTATGAGATATTGAAGTCTCACTAGTTTTGTTAAAGGTATGTACATAATATACATGATATAAAACAGCAATCACTTGTAGATACAAAAAAATTTGTCCCTGGTATTTGTCAACACAATTATCATGGCATTGCTTATTTATCCAGTAACTGGTCTATTTATCATGCTTGTGGGTAATTAAGCTGTATGACTTCTATCAATTAAGGGGGGGGGGGATATAATATTGTCCGTCCCACCCCATCTCTTGCCCAATCAGATCCCATGATGTCATGTCCTAATTCACTGTCATCAGTCTTGAAACTTACAAATATTGTGAGTTGCAACTTATGATATCACCTAGTATATTACAATGCACATGAGCTTTTCCCAATTTAAAAATGTCAAAGTTTTGGTTTAGAGAAAAAATTGGTTTCGTACGCATGAATGTAGGATTAACCAAATATCTAAGTTGTGAGGATTAATTGTATATCCAATGTCTCTGAAGTTATTCTGAGGTATAATTCCAATAACCGAATCTCATAAATAATACTTAAAAATTGACTCGCTCATTTGGATTTAAATAATCGTCTTTGCAAAAGAGTTTTGTTTTTTTCCGTTTGACTGCTTGAACTTAAGGGTAAAAATGTGATAAAATGTATGTATGTATATATAGTCAATGCACTTTTCATTAATACATGTATTTCAAATTTTTATGTAAATTCATGTAACAGTCTGGAAATAGAAAATCCTGTTACTGAATAACATTAACTTAGGAGGATCTAGTCTGCAGTGTCCAACTGTACATTGATGCTTACCTATGTTAAAATCTGGAAATTTTGTTTTGATCAATTTGCATAATTTATAATATCTTTTGCCTTTGATAAAAATGTTTTCAACTTATCAACATGTAATGTGAATCACGGCTGTGAGTCACGGCTATAGTGCAATATAAACCTGAAATGTTTAACATTTCAATCCTGTTAGAGATTTGTTTAATTTATCCACTGCCCCAGTTAATGCAATTTTTCTTTCACATCTATGTAAAGTACATGTGTCCCATATTGAACACACATTGGGGTATATAGTCTTAACCTAGAATACTCCTGAAGATTAACGGAGGTTTTTGGAACTTTAAATCAATTGTGCATTTTGTATGATAGTTATTAAACAGTTCAAGTATAGGGTTTCAGGATATAGCAAGTTTCTGTTTCCTTGAGACTGGTCCTACCTTCAAGTCCGTAATTTAACTGTATGCTAATGCCATCATTGAAAACCCTTTTAAGGTAGATTTAATTCGAGGTAAAAACATGCATTTTTCTGCTCTTTCCAAAAATGGTTTTAGTTTCATGTACATCTAGACATTTTCAATACTTCCTGCAGTAGTGTCAACAATGTATGACGCGTATTGTTGTGTATACTAGGTCTATAAACAGCAGTTCATAATAATAACAAGTCATGTTTTTGTTTCCATTATTTGAAGAAGAAAAAAAGAAAAAAGTGAGTATTTTGTTGTTGCAATTCGATGTTATAATATAATGAAATTCTGAAAATGTGTAACTTAAGTAAAAATGTTGTGTGAGTGATATCATTTTCAAATTATCTCATTTGTGGAATGATCCGTCTTATACAGTGTATACATGTGTCAACATTCATCAGTACGGTAATTAAGGATGTATTCTTTTGAGTGTTTTGACACCAGTACACTGTCTGGATAATTAATATGCACTAATCTTATGTATTGATACCATTTAATAGTATTTACCATGACAAAATTTATCAATAATTTTTTCCACGAAAATGTATGTAAGAAGGATACCATTATTTTAACATGTATATGGTTAATCTTATATTCCGAGGAAGATTCATCAGTTTGGTATGAATGATCAATAAAGACCAAGTTTGTCAACGCAACAGACATTTTCGAAAGCTTGCAAAACAAGTTTTCAATTCCTTTTTGTGTTTAAAACAAACTTAGTCTTTATTATGGTTAGTCTTGTCACTATTATGAAAAATATATTTAGTCCATTTCTTCAAAAAAAATCAATTTAATAAAATCATTTGCAAGATGTATTTTTCAAAATTATATTCCACAAAGTTTTATCTAATATTAGAAAATAGAAATTCAAACAAAAAACAAAAACTGCAGGGTTTAAACTCTGGACCTATGTTCAGCCAATCCTACATTCTGTTAATGTCACCAATCAGAAGTTATCATCACACAGCATCAAAATGAGAGCTGAACTTTATATAAGCTGCAAGGCCTACCAAAAACCTTGACAAGGGAAGTAACTCTTAACCACATTTTTTTTATTTATTTTTTTAATAATTGATTAAATGTGAATAGAACTCTTCACGATAATCACTGAAACGTTGGTACTCTTAACCTTAAGACTTGGTTTTTACAACATTTAGTTACATGTAATACAAACATTAAGTTATTGGTCATCAGTTTCTGTATAGTGGCACCAAAAAAGATGAATATTTCTTTGTCATTTGCATGGTTTAAGATTATCTAGTACAAAAACCAGTAACATATAAGTGATAAAGTTACCAGTTCCTTAATTTAGTAATGTGGAGAAAGTTGTCATGATAACTTATAGGTGGATTTTACAGACTTTTTTTTCAATTCAACATTATGCAGTACTTAATTTTATCACTATAAAACTTCAATATTCCATCTTTTTTATTTTATTACAAATTCAATTTGAATTCTTCAATAAAAATTCAAAAAATAGATGGTTTTTGACATTTTGAATGATTTTATTTGGTAGATTGTGTTTATACTACTTGGTTTAAAATGTGGGCCTATCTTCTATCGTGCAGTAATTTTAATTTATTACAATAATGTGTCTCATGTGTCTTTTAAATCGATTTCATTTTCATTAAAACTGGAATAAAAAAATTAATGTGTGTGTTATTTATTCCACTTAAAGGAACCGTTTTTTGGATTGTTTCCCTTTGCTCAAAGCATTTTTTAACTCGCCGTTAACTCACCATTGTCGACGTCGTACCATTAGTCTTCGACTACTACTGACGCTTTTACTAATGTTACTGGTACGGACTCCGGCTCTGCACCTCCCGCTATGTAGCATGCGGGGCTGAAGACCTCTCCCCTGTCACCAAAAAACCGTGACATGGTATTTAAAAAAGTGGGGTCAAATAAGGACGATCAACACAAAATGGGGTCACGTCGAGTGGTCTCTCAAAATTCATTCATTATTGTGGCATAATTTCTGCTATCGATAACATGTCGGCATTGAACTGCGAGCAAGGAAAGTTTGTTTTTAAATAATCAAAAAATAAAAAAAATGTTGAAAGGTCAGAAAATATGGAAATATGAAATGTAAGGATAACATTTTTTTCTCTCCAAAATTTGAAGTGGAATCAAAAATAATCATTAAAGATTAAAATGCAAAAAGTGAAGTTAACATAATTGAACAATACGAAGCTTTCAGACTCAAGATATCGGATTCGGGGTTAAACATTGAATTAAGGTGCTTTCCTACGCATCCAAGTCAAGTCCATGGTTTTGAAGAACATATAGTTGTTTAATATTTGAAGAACATACAATAGTTTTAGTGTGTTAGTTTGAAAATGCATGTTGTAGAAATTGGCATTACTGGTTTAAAATACAGTTGCTCCAATTCAGTCACACTAACCAACCTTGAAGGTTGATTTGTGTATGTGTGCTCATGGGAATAGAGCATTTACCATACATACAATTGTTATACAGATATCACTTTTCAATTGAAGTAGGCATAAACCGATTTTGCTAATGAACTTACATAGTAGATTTTTTTTCTGCCTTAAAAACCAGAATAAACATCAATACACGTATCTTCAATTTGAAAAAAATTTATCTGAAACAATATTGATTGTTCCGTTACGATTATCAGGCAAAGTATTTGGTAAACATTTGTTATTTAGTTGAACTTGCTCTACTGTTTGGCTCGCCTATTAGGAGAATAGGGGGCTAATGTAGTCACCCCGGCGTTGGCGTCCCACTTCCTGAGGTTAAAGTTTTTGGACAAGTTTTTTTGTGAAGTGTTGGTCCACCACCATCAATAGGCTATTGTCTATTATAAGATTGGAGTATTTATATGGAGTGTTAGCAATGTTCTGAACCATATTTTCATATTTACGTGCCAAAAACACCTTTATTGGACTTGGTTAAAGTTTTAATGCAAGTTTGCATCATAGGGACCTGAGATTTTGTTACAGCTATATTTGGACCTAAACTAAGGTGTTCAGAGTAATTTTACATGTTTTTAGGGGATATACGATCATTTGGGTTGTCTTTTTTAAAGACAGTTGATCTAAATCCCTAAAACGTGTAAATTTGCTCTGAACACCTTAGTTTAGGTCCAAATATAGATGTTACAAATTCTCAGGTCCCTGTGGTTTGCATGTGCAGTGTCGGATCGCTCGTCACCATCAATACGCTGTTGACTATTTCACGTTGTCTGGTCATCTCTTCTTTTGAAATGTACTACATGTTAAGGTACAGCAAAACCTTGTCATATTGC